TAAGATGATTCATATTTGTGTTCATCCCTTGCTGGAGAGCAGTCTTGTTGAAAAATGTTGACTACCATTCCTTTCGGTCTCTTCAATAGACTCTTTTTAAAAGTGTGGGCTGTCTATACTTCGCATCACCGTAACTTGGAAAAGGCCAACCGCCACAGCCCCCTCGAGCCAATCAGAGAGACGGAGCGAAGGTGTGTGACTAATCTGTGCAGACGAGCACTCTGGTGATATGTTGTCATGTGCCTCTCTCCAATGTGTGTATTGACTCACCGAGACCGTAGCCTTTGCCGTCTGCCAAATTCTGATGAAACAAATTACAGTAGCTACTACTGTAATTACCCCAAGCTTTTAGACTTTGGGCATTTGTTCGACAAGAATGTTATGTCCGCCATCCCTGTGAATTCGGCTCAGCACGTATTGGACTCGAATGCTGCATTAGCATTCGACGTGAACTGGGGCCCATTCATGTGCTTTACGCCGAAAAAAATGGTGACAGTTGTGTTGCTTGATAAGGTTCTGCAAAGGGTCTATTGTGTCATACATATAGGAAGTGTCATGCTACATAACAATGCATCAACACATACTATTAAACTATATGCTCAGAGGTGTGTTTGTTTTTCCAATTAACAAGTTACAGCAGTGTGCTTTAATGCTATTATCATGCGTGTAGTTTTAAGTATCCTCTCTGCAATGCCTACGAAGGCCCCTGGAAGGAATAAATTAAATAACATTTTCACATCACTGGAGTTGGTTTTCGGATGCACCACATGTTCAGGAAAGGTTGAACGAGTGCAGCCCCTTGCAAGAAGTCTGCCAGTCTGGTATGACCCCTTAATTAATATTGAAGGGTCAGAGATGCGAGTGTCCTCGTAAGGTCTCGAGTGTGCAGTGGACATAATTCTCGGTGTGTAGACTCTCAAGGCATGAAGGCAAGCGGAAATATGTTTATCTGGTTAGTGTATCAAATATGTTTATTTCCACTTGATTACATAATTATGGATTCTTAGGAAATGGTTCCATAACGAGTTCTTTCTGCGACAGTCTCGTGTCAGGCGTTCAGCCGTAGTACCTGTGGACCTTGTTGTCGGATGACGCTCCTGGCACGTCGGTGTTCAGTTTGGTCGAGTGGCAACTTTGACCTACTGATGCTGTCTTGTAATCATACGTCATGTGCGGCCACTGACGTCTGATGCACTGAAGCTGCAGGGCTGGCTTCTAATCCGAAAATTTTCCTGGTAGTTTTCGGCATCAATGCAGCAAGCTCGGGCATGTATTGCTTACGTGGCTGTGCCTTTTGCTGTACCGTTGACTTGATAGCTGGCAACAATTTTTGTTTGCTATCCAAGTCTGGTGATGCTTGCAGTTCACTTTTGAGAGCAACCAACCATTCTATTCCTTCAAGTCACTCAGGGGCATTCTCCCTCAAAGTTGGAAATTGTGTGCTTCGTGGAGTGGACACAGAAAATTGATGTCAGCAAATTTTTAGGTATTGTCCTTGGACGACAACCGACACCAAATCCACTGTCACTGCACCGCCGCTCACCTGCTTTGTCGTGCTTACCTCTTGTTGAGGTAATGGACATGAGGAGCTTCGGGGTAATCAGGGATTCAGAATCTTCGATTCAGCACCTTCGGCATCAGGGACAAAGGTCGCCGAAGGTAATCCTTAATCTCCCGTGGTCGCTCCTCGAGACGTAATCGAGGGTCGTTTGGCACGAACCCTCGCAGACCAATTCATTGGTACGGGCTGCTTTGGTAGACATGGTCGGCTTCATGCAGTGGTAGCAAAGTGGTTTTCGGTCGCACATTCGCATCACCTACGTTTTCCTCGGTGTACTTTGTTGAGCACAGACCTACACACGATGTCGGGAATGTTTCGGCGTTAGAGTGTCTCATTGAATTGGCATTGAATACTAAGGGGCAGCCGGTGGCGGTCGTCGTGCCATTGTGGCGTAAGTTGCCCTTGGTTTGTCAGATGCCGCTTCGCTCGCAGAAGTCTCGGTTGAAATACCTGTCAAACTTGTTTTGAAACAATCTCGGCAATCAAAATAAAAGCCGGGCAACTGATGGCAGGAAGTAGCTTCCTGATCTCCTCCCAGACAACGTCGTGGATGATGTCGTGGACGCCTGGGAGGCTGGCGTCGAAGTAGTAGCTGGACAACTTGAGTGTCGAGACGCCGGGAAGTTGTTCATAGTGGCAGGCTCGGGCATGCAGTGCACATTTCATGTTGGAAGCCTCGGTGATATGAACACTTCGACTGTTGTTGGGGGTTGCGGACAAGGCTGCCGAAGGTGTTGTCCCTCACGTGAGGGGCATGGGATTCTTAGGTTCTTGTCTTCTGTAGCATCAAGGTCGGCGTGGGCGTGGGCGCTCGATCAAGCGCAAAACATCCTCCACGAGTGCGGTGGCACTCTCGTTGGGGCAGTGTCGTGGACAGAATCAAGAATGCGGCTCTCTCTCGTTGATGGTGGCTGACGAATGCGCGCTTCAGCTCGATCTTGCAAACTTCCCATGACGTTAAGGAGGATCCATGGTTCTCAGACCAGCGCCGGCAGTTTCTTCCACGAGAAGTATAGGTTCTGCAGGAGCTGGTTGTCTGTCCACCCAATGTGGCGGGCGACACTGTCATATTGTTCAATCCAGTCCTTGACGTCTTCATACAGCTTGCGTGAAAAAGCGTCGGAGTGTGATTTGCGACAGGCATGCAAACAATGGTGGGAGGGGACACGGTTTGCTGCTACAGGCTTGTCATTGTTGGCTTCGTCAGCTTCGGGTTTTCTGACAGGAGACCGAATTCCGGTGGTTTTTCCTGGTAGCAGCAACTGGCTCGGATTTCAGGTGCTTTGTGGTGTATTTCCGAGGTTACTCCTTGTGGTATTCGGTCGTCTTGCGGTTGTTCTGCCAGGCTCGGGTCAGGACTTTGCTTACGGCTCGACGGGGGTATAAGACGCAGGATAGTCCGCCAGCCGTGTCCCATTATCGAGTAACTCGGCTGAAGAGCCGCCGGGTTCACACAGAGTGAAGGGCTATGGGTGCCCAGCACCTCCACCAGAATATACGATTACAGCTGAGCATGACCTGCAGTGTCCCAGAATAGTGAATATTGATAGAAGATAGGACTGGAACAAGGATCCGTGACAGTATAACAAAACTCGCAGAAGAGAATCTATCCTGACCACTGAAGAAGCTGCATTGCTTTAGTGGCATTCTGTCCGAATAAATCCTCTCCTTCGGGGTTTGGCGACTGCCGTGGACGAACTGAACTGAAATGGATCTGGGACCACTTTTCTGGTAATGAGCCACTGCAGACTGTTGCCACAAAGCGGCGTGAGCTGGGTACGTAACACGCTCGATGAAATGTCCGGACAGCTTGCAATTCGCGTAACGAGTGTGGATGAAACGTTTGTGTTGACGAAACGTGCGACAGACCAGCGGGATCAATACCAACTGCAACACCTGTGCTCCGTGAAAGTGCACGTCTACGCCGGAACAATTTCGGAAGCAGCACAGTATCACCTAAAGCATGGCACAGGAACTACCAGCTTGAAGGCAGCTCTTCGGTGCGCCGCACACCTGTGCTCCGTGAAAGTGCACTTCTACGCCGGAACAATTTGTAAGCAGCACAGCATCCTTCAGCACGGCACGGGAATTACCAGCTTCAAGGCAGCCTTCCGGTGCGCCGCACAACCGAAGTGAGCCCTCAGTCATTTGATCGAAGCTGCACCACGATTGCACACCGCCAAACACGACTCACGCAATTTCCGTCGCTAAACTGTGTATCCAAATATATTACACACGCTTCACTGCAAACCTCGAAGATTCCGATGGTCAAGGAGAGCACAGAAACGTCGTCTTAAATTTTATCCTAGCGGTATCCGAATCAATCCGAGGTCCGAGCAACGTAGGTCAGATTGTCTCTTCCGTGGCAATATCCCGGTCGGTCACCAGCGAAATGCACACCTTTCCTCCGTATTTTCACGTTATACCTACGTCAAACACCACGCTGAACTCTGAACTCGCTTTCGACCGGCTTCACATGACGGCTTCCGCGTCTGAAATCAACTCGCCGAGACGAACGACAACCAACAAAGCATCCGACAAGCTCCGGCCCAGCTGGGGCCAGCCGCTGCATGGGCGCTGCCATCTTTCCTGTGACGTCACGTATTTGGTTTGGTCATGTGACGTGTGGTCAAATTTGCGTACAATGGCAGCCGCCTTATGGGGGTCACTTTCGAGTGCAGTCCGGAACCCCGGTTTATCGCTCTAAGCCCCTCTACCTCGTTGGTGGCGCTATATGTATTGCCAAAAATCACCTCCGGCAAAAAAACTAAATAAAAGGCAGTCAACCTGAAAATGCTTAGAGCCCGCCCAACTCCTGGAAACGAAGAACTCGTTGTTGAGACTTTGAAATAATTAAATAAAGCTCAAGAGAAATCATTTCCCGCTAAAATTAGCGGAAAATCCTTTCGCTGAGTTTAGCGGAAACAGGACGTACATTACATCTCTCCGTGACGTCACATTTATTTTCAGAATCTTCAGAATTCATTATAAAAACGAATTTTTGGTTAAACCAAGAAACTTGAAGTGTTGCCAGATAAAACATAACGCAAAAAAAAAAACAGAAAAAAAAAACTAAACTACGAGAGGCTCACTCACGAGAAACGACAGCATCTCTTCTGGAAAGCCTCGCTTGCTACAAAGCATTAAATGGTAGAGTGAAGGCGTTTGCCGCTCAAAAAGTGGCCTGCATGTTTTTTTTATTATTACTTATGTTTTAACTGTTGGTTTGCACAGGCGGAGCTGCAGCACTATTAATAATATGGCCGTTCAGGCACCTTTATAGTGTTCTAAAGTAAAGACTTAATTTATTTGACTCCTCACTCCAGTGACCTGAATGTGGAACGAGGTGTCTGTCCTGGTTCCGGAGAGCAATACAGGTCTGCAGCACTTTACATTTTCGAAGAGCTTGGGTACATACATTCCGCACGCATTGGCGTCCTTAACACGCGGAGATGTTTAAGTCACGGGGGGGTTCGTAAAAGCCTGGTCGCCAATCTGGGGATTTTAGGTCAGCCAAAATCCAAGTGTATAGTTTCTTGAGCACAAGGGCTTTCCTCTCATAGTCGACACTGTTGAGTCCATCACTTTTGTAGCGTGACTTTGCACTACTGAGAAGCTGGAGCCTGTGAAAGTAGTCCTGTGTAAGTAGTAAGTAAATACATCGGAATATAGGGTCTCTAGAAAAAAAATACTGCTATGTATTAATTGTGATAACCAGGAAGCACATCAAACTACACAACATGTGCCACACGCACGTGAGTAAAAACATGTACGAAGCTTCCTAATTTTAGGTAAGATCGCATTTTTGTCGCTTTACATATGCGTGTTCTGATATTTATATGCGACATATTTCGTTGTGGATTTATAGCCTGAAAATAGAGTCTAAGGCGTCTGCCTGAAACACGTAGGAATGTAGAGCATAACCTTTTGAAGCCACCTTTTCGAATATTTACTTCTCCACAATTAGTGTATTAATCAAATGCACCCATACGTGAAAATGACAAGTTGACACGATAAGAAGTGCCAAGTCACACTGAATAGTTAATGTTCACTGCTATACAAAACTAGAGAAGACCTAAATGTCATGGCAACAAAAAATAGCGTGAGCAGGAAACCAACATCGAATTTACTGGCCCTAGTTATATCATAATCTAATGCCTCATTCGACGAAAGCTTATCACAAGTGAAAAAAAAAACACACACACAAAACTCAACCAAACATGAGAAGTGTATTTCTTGTTAAGCGCACGTTGATAGATAATACTGAGCTTTTTTTATTTTCTTTATCCGACAAGTGTTCATATTCTGTTTAAAATTTACAGCCCAATATGTTTCCTTTTTGTATTTTCAAAGCACTGCTTTACTTATATTTGTGTAGTTTAATTTTAGCGAAATTTGCGATTCACGTTTTATTCTAAACAAAAACTAATGAAAACGGATCAAGCAAAAAAAAAAAAAAATCGGTTGAAACGAAAACAATGTAAACGTAATATTAAGTTGCGCCATTCTGTTTATTAGCGGTACCACGAATGCGGTAACATACAAATTCGTAGCATATGCTATACATATGACCCAACAGGGCCAGACGCTCTGCATAGGATTTTCAGTAGATTCTTTGAATTATATTTTTGAAGTAAAATCAGCTATCAGCCTGGACTGATGGCTAACTAAAAAAAAAAAAAAAATCTTTATACTACCAAATCACAAACGAATCCTGCTAAAATGTAGCCCATTATTATGAGCATCGGCGCTTCTGCGAGTTTGTGACAGTAACTACTACAAATACCCTTGTAATTTCCAGCCAAAAAAAAAAAAAAAAGCCTGCTGCTGTTTTTGATTTCGCAATCCTTCGGTTCATTAGGTAATCAATGAGCATTGTGAAGATCGTGGCTGCAATTCGTGACACTCCTCTGAAGTAGTAGAGCGGAGACATTGCAGGATGGCAATGCCTGCACTATATAAAAGGATACAATTGCTTTGGGACATAATGTTGGTAGTGAATGAAATCGTGCCACCCTGCAGCGGAAGTTCTTAACTATTTTCTTTTTGCTTCTTGCCACAGTAACGGCGGTCACAAGCATTTTGTACTCTAAAATCGCTCGTGCCTTGCTACATATTCCTTGAAACCCATAACAGCATGTCATTCACAGATTAAAAAAAAAAATGAATTTGAGGACGATGTTGACGAAGCACATTGAACCAGGCGAAAATGTACGCCAATCCGCCCTTTATGCATCTGAAAAACGGTAGTTTGAAAGTTAAACAAAAGCTTCTCAGCTTACAAAAGGTTATATGGGATTTTCGGGCCCCACGTCTCCCGCGAAATACTAAGCTCGCACAAAAAAAAGTTGCACGGAGTACTAGATCCAAAATAACATCAAAGAGGTTACCCTGGAATAATTCAACATGTCATGCAATTGATATTATTTGTTCGTAATGTCTCACGAGGAGATAAAATGAGCTTGGGCTTTGTAATAATTGGTAAAACTCCAAGCAATAACATTATTAAGCTAAAATATTGAGACCGTTGTAACTTGTATTAAAGGGCCCCTGAAAATATTTTCTTTAACAGTCTGGTTGGGACACGCGTCTAAAAAATAAAGTTTACGCGAAAAAAAAATTTTTTAGAGCATTATTGTTGGCGCGAAACGCGATTTAGTCTGAAGTCAGCTCCTTTCCACTTGTTTTCTCTCTCGGCATATCGGGCGCGTGGAGGAGAGGTGGATCTGTTTCGCCTTCACGACCGAGATGGTCATTCCAAAATGACCCGTGAAGTCATGAACTTCACGGGCGTAGAATTTCAAATAAATCTGTCGCCATCTATATTGCTCCCAAGGAATGTTTCTTTTTTGCGCAAAATTTATTCTTTTAAGACGCTTGTCCCAACCAAATTGTTTAAAAAAAACAGTTTGGCGGTAAATAACTACTTTACGAACCAAAACCTGCGAACAGATAAAGAACATAAATTAGCGAAAATCTTCGAAACCAACCTTTCAGGACTGGGAGTCTCTTTAGCATGCCCAAGCATTGTGTACCTTGCAATTTCCGCAGGATATCTTGTGATATTTAAATTGGAGTAGGCTAGCCTGCATCATTTCAAATGTATGCAATTACTAAAGTCACAGACGCGTTATACTGACAACGCTCTTTCTCAAATAAACCCACAAGACATTGTGAAACCCATACCCTATCTGGAAACACTTGCTTCGGATATACAGGGTGTCTTTTAGAGCGCAGCCCTTAGGCGCCCGTTTCCGGGTTGTGCGGTGTCAGCGTCGGCGTAACCGCGCGTTGCATTATGGGACGTTTCTAAGTACAATATTTCCAATAAATTTAGCAGGGAAAGTTTTCCGCTAAATTTAGCGGGAAAATTTTCCCACTAAATTTAACGGAAAAAGTTTCACCGTTAACTTTAGCGGGTTAAGGTTCCCCGCTAAATTTAGCGGGGAAAACGACGCCACGACTTCGTGTCACGTCAGTCATGAACACATTCAGTGGCAGGAGGAGAAAAGGAGGGGAGGGTAAAAAGGAGGAGGAGGGGCATACCCTCCCCTCCTCCTCAAGAGATGCGTTCTAGCTTCGCATTACAAAGATTTGTAAACGTCTTTCATTTTTTTTCTAAGACAGCAAATTATTAAAAACAGGATACTAGAACTAAAGGATGATTCCTTTGGGATAACGGTTCTCCCTGCGACGGGCACCAGCTAGAGAGTGTAAAGTGAGAATTATCAAATTAATTACCTAAATACGATAAATAAAAATTTTAATTATTCGCTTCAGCTGGCACATTTAAATTCGAAAATTTATGCCCCTCGTTAAAATAATCCGTAGCAGTTCTGGGACTTTAGGAACAAAATTCTGCTCCGCGCTATTCTCTCGCAAAGTTAGGCCGTAGAAATTAAAACAGGATGCGGAATGAGCGGCGGAAGTCTCACCCAGAAGCGACGTCAACCTCCGTAACGAAGCGGGTAGCGAGTCACACAGCGAGCCGAGAAGGATTACGTGGCTATACAAAAGACGCACTCTACTCTGCTGTCTGCTATGGCGCTCTGCTTTCTGCGCTCTTCCTGTGTCAGTTCAGGTATGGCGAAAGTAACACAGAAATTTCGCCAAATTACGCGAAGCACGATCTGATTGTCTGAATTGTAACAACTGCTACGGCATAGTTTAACGACGAGCAACCAATTTATAACTGGGATGTGCCAGTTGAAGCAAATATTAAACAGAAAAAGTTAATTAGAAAATTTAGGAATTAATTTGCTTATTATTCTTTTACACTCTGTAGATGATGTCTGCCGTGCTGGATATCGTTCACGTCTCTGTTTTCAATGCCTTCTTTACATTTACCAGATGTTACACCTATACAGTTTAAATACTATAAATATAAAGAAAAAAAAAAACAATTAGCAGTCAATTTATGGTAAGAATTGTACGGACAAACATCCGAAGGCAGGCTGAGGCCAAAGTCAAGCCAAGGTATTCTGGGTCACTCAACTAAAGGTGCATCCGGACTTCAAACCTTAAGCTAAGGGAAAACTAGTAATGCATTATTCCATACATCATTGTTCGTCATTGGTGACACTCAGAATCTCACAGAAAAGGCCATACTGGAATGTACTTTAGGAAAGGAAGTAACGATCAACAAGCTATACTGTAAACGTTCTGTAGATATGCTCACGAGATACTCTTGCTAAATTTCAGTGGCTTACAGTTGCCACTGTCGTGCCCAAATAAAAGGTGCCGAAAAAATTACACTTAACAGAAAAAACGATTAGTACGTAGAGCACGAACCTGTTAATTTTGACAACAAGGTGTTGATAAATACAGACAGTAATGATGTTGAAAAGCAATTGCAACCACAAAACTCTGCTGAGTTTTTTTACAACGAACCATTCATTCATTCATTCATTCATTCATTTGTTTATTTTCTGTGCTCATGAACTGCTTGACGCCTTGATAATGATGCGCAACAAAGTGTTTACAGGTTAGTTACAAAAGTCTTAAAAGCTACGAAATTTGGGTTAAAAACATCAATATCTGCTCCACTGAGGGTTATCGTAGAAGTGTTGAATACGGGTCATGGGACTGGTTGGGATGATCATGTAACCTTCACTACTAAGTTTTCAAAGAAGTCAAACGAATTTATATGCTAATTGGAGTAAAAATATGCTGTAACTGAAATAATTCCGAATTTACTTCTATTATATTATTATCATGTTAGTAAAAAAACATTTTCAACACTTACCAAGTTTTTTGTTATTTATGTAATCTACTAATGAGTATATTAGCCACACCATTGTTATACACCTATGTTTCTTTTAAAACTAACAATTGGATATAATAGTGGTAAATATTTACCAGAAATACCTTGAGAGATTTATGAAACGGCCATAATTATTAATTAACAATAAATAAAAAGAGTGCCAGTGCGTGGATATCCCTTGCAGGTAGGGATATCGCAGAGGTGCGAGGTTGGAACACCTTATCATCAAAATCCTTTTCTGCAGAACATTTCTTTTGTACCCTTTTGAATTATCATATTAACTTATCCATACTGGAGTGCAGCAGATACATAATGTTGCGAAGAAAACTGCCACGCTGCTCAACTTGTGCGCTTTTAATTTTCAGCAATTAAACGGAATACAAATATCCGCACGCAATTTTGTAGGAGTTTGAATGCATTCTGCCAAATATTCCTACCTTTTGATGAGTGTTTCAACCAGTCAAAACCAATGATCATTGGGCGACTCTGGCAACAAGCGATCCTTGCTTGTGCGCTCAACGTTCACTTGATTGATACATATATATTTTTTCCAATCAGAGCCAACATTTCAACACGCAACGGGTTTGAAAACGTGTAAGAGTATTGTCCATTTTACGCTTATTGCGATGAGAAAGCCGTCCCAGAAATATGAACCTGATTTGCAGACGTACAACTTATTTGACCAGAAGTTTTCCGGAACTGCAGCATCTGCGGAGCTCGTGCATACTGTTTTAATTTCGTTTCTATGCCAGTTGCCTTTCTTTTCCAGCATTGTATGTTTCAAAACATGTATATTGTCTTTGTATGCTTTTTTCAAAGCAGGCTAGCTAGGCTCATGTTACTAGTTTCCACTCGAAACCGAAATTCTGGGGAAGCCTTAAAGGAGTTGTGCAGCAATTTCAGGGCTTTGCTTAAATAATTGTGGAAGTTGATGCCTGACACTTGTGCAGTGAACTACAGAAAACAGATTTTGCCTGGATACCCTAGTTTTTATTTTAAAAAATGAAAAAGATCCAGGTTTTTGCCGCCTCTCAACTCGTACATCGTCTTCCGGGTCACGTGCGCAGTGACGTCACTTGGGTAGGCGCGGGGTTCCGGAAAAGTTCTCTCTTTAGAGCCATCAGCGTGCAGAGAGAACTCATCCGCTCGCGACCGCGTGACTACGTGCTGGCGGGCGCCCCGCGATATATAGACCGTTTTATCGTGGATAGCGCCATTTTGAGAGCGAGAGAGAAAAGGGGAAAGGGCTACCGGCGCTTTCCCCCTTTCTGGTTGTGTAGAAAGAGTGAAAGTCCCGGATGAAAGGCTTCGCCGGTGTTGGGTCTCTGCAGTGCCGGAACTTCGTTCGCGCTTTCTTTTCTGTTTTAAACTCGCAAACTTAACTTGAGCCACGGGCCTCGATAGCGACAGTCCCCCGGTCATCGGTACTCCATTGCTCGGTCACAGGGTGCACGAATAACGACAGAAAGCGTCGAATACTGTCCGAGGACCTACGCAGCCTGCATCAAATCCGCCAAGGCGATTGCGGCCGCAATATTTTTAAACTCCATCGCTTTCCGCATGACTGAAACTGATGAACCATTCATCAATCTTTGCTCGGGATGGGCCTATTTCAACGTAGCCGTGTTTAGTAATCAACAAGCTATAACTTTTGTAAACACCCGGAGCTACTACCGATCGTTTTGCTGCGCTGCTTTTATCTTGCGTGTCCGTGTTCTTATATTTCCTTGTGGATGAACGACGAAGACGTTCTAGATGTGCCTATATTAAACCACATAAAGCCTTAAAGCAGCCACGAATTATTTTACTGTTTGATGCACTATTTTGATTACTCACCTCCAATTTCTATTGCTGGCGCGTTCGCTTCCTCTCTTCCCCCCGTCACCGCACTGGCGGATATCATGACTCGAACAAAGAAACGTGCTCACTGGGCTCGAAAACGGATTGAACACTAAACACTTACACACAGACAGGACAGGACATACACAGAGCTGACTATCAACTATTTAATACTTCTTCTTCCGCCATCTCCTCTTCTTCTTAATCCCTTCGAGTATTCCACAATGGCGAGAGAAGATGCACTTTTTATATTTTTTTTTAAAGAACAAAGCATAATAAGGAGTACATATAAAAAATAAATCATAGACGAAAAGAGAAAAAATATGCTACATAATCGAAAATTGAAAAAACTACCAGCAAATGCCCCCAAGCTAACCCCATACATTTCCACTTCCAGTCACTGACATCGGTATCCCGCGGAGGTTTCGGGAACTGCTTCCCATGACGGTCCTCGCGAGTCACTGGCCCACAGCCGCAACACAACGAAGATATTGGTTTTCTTTGGTGTGCAGCGTGATGGACGGACGGCAATCATGGAACGCTCGAAGGGACTGAAAAGAAGAGGAGGTGGAGGAAGAAGTATTAAATAGTTGATAGTCTGCTCTGTGTATGTCCTGTCCTGTCTGTGTGTAAGTGTTCAGTGTTCAAGCTGTTTCTCACAGACATATACCAATTAGCTGAACCCAAACCAGTTATTCGAAAACGTAGATCGTAACACATGAGACGTACCCTGCAGCGAATATCCAGCGCTTTAAAGCGACCAATCAACGGAAAGGCACCCCAAGTAGCGCTTTTGCCGTCACTGTGGTATCGCGCAGGGGATCGCGATTCAGGAAAACCCGATAGAACTAACTTTTCAGCAATTTCCAGCCACACCAGGCGGCGGAAATGAGCCTTCAAAAAAGTATTCTAGATATTAAAATCAAGTCAATGTCACGACTGAAAATTTCAATATTAAGATAAATTCAGTTACAAAATTTTACGAGCTGAAACAGCAATTATTATGAGAAAACTCGCACGCACCTTTTCGAGTGACCCCATGTTCATCGGCGGTACAGCGATCGGTGCGCGCTCCATTCACAAAATGTTCCGAGCACAGTCGAGAGGATGGCGTTGAGGAAAAGTCTTTTCGGTTGACGGATGCAAACCACTGCCGCCAGGGACCGGGGTCAAGTGGAAAGCGATGGAGCTTAAAGACATTGCAGCCGCACTTGTCGGATTCCGTGCAAGGTGTGCATAAGTGCTCGGACAGTATTCGACGCTTTCTGTCGTTATTCATGCACCCTATGACCGAGCAATGGTGTCCCGATGACCGGGGGACTGTCGCCATCGAAGCCCGTGTCTCTGATTAAGTTTGCGAGTTTAAAACAGAAGAAAGCGCGAACGAAGTTCGGGCACTACAGACACCCAACACCGGCGAAGCCTTTCATCCGGGACTTTCCCTCTTTCTACACAACCAGAAAGGGGGAAAGCGCCGGTAGCCCTTTCCCCTTTTCTCTCTCGCCTTCTTTCAGTACTTCTGGCGGCTATTCGCGGTTTTGTAGAGCTAGCATAGATGGCGCCACTAAAACTCCGTATAATAAAAGTTTTGTCGATGATAGCAGGGTTTTGACGCATTTATGTATATGTTAGAACGACGAGATTTATAGAAAAGTTACCCTTTATCAAGCAGGTATTCGCACAACTTGCTGTCTTTTTTACAACTACCCAAGTGACGTCACGCCGCTTGTTTCTCATGGCCGCCGCTCGTGGCTGCAGGTCGGGAAATATTCTAAGTTTTGCCTCGCTATTCCGCGGCGGAATCGCAACATTTCAATGAAAGGAGGTCTGTTTTCTCTCATTTGTGACAAGGTGAACAATATCAAAAGCAGAAGATGCCAATTCTTTTAACGTTAAAATCGTTGCACAGCTCCTTTAAGGTGTCATATGATGTGTTTGCTATAAGGCTGCCTAGCTCGAAAGAAACTAGGTGGTTCAGCTTTATTTAAATAATGATACGCTGCCAGTTTGCTAAAATGCATAAAGAAGCTAGTTAGTGGAGAGGTCTCGTAGCAAAACGTTGGCTGCCTTGATAGCAGACGTGACTTCTAAACGTAAGATAAACCAGCTAGGTTTTTTTTTTGACTGAGACGTATACGCTGCTACTTGGCACAGTGACTTGGCATAAAGAACTTAAATAATTTATCTTTGGTAGTTAGTTCCGCTAGCTATCAGTTTGCTGAGAAACTTGACTTGAGGAAGTTAATTAGTTTAACTAGGTTTCTCAACGAAACGTCAGGCCAGAGCCTGTCAGGAGGTTCCGTTTTTAATTATATCTACCAGTTTCGGTCATGCCTTCATGCTTCGGAACTTTGATTCTTCAACCGCAAATATGCGTTCCTAAAAAAAAAAAAAAAAAGTTTTTGGCCGGTATCATTTTTAGCGTCTGAGCGTAGCACACGTGCTATGTTGACATTATACCACTCGGTATAAAGTCTCATTAATATTGGGATTACGTGTTTTCGAAGTTATTTATCGTGAACTTCGGACGTTGTTTTCCCGAGTTTATTTTTCGCTTACAATTGTGGGTTTATCCGAGTTTATTATTGATAGATTCCCAGTTTTTTTTTTATTTCGGAGTTTATTTTGCAGTGTTCCTATGTTAAAAAAAAAAAGAAAATAAAGTCCAGGACGCATGACCCGTTTTCGTGAAGGAAGCTCGACGTGCTAAAAGGCAAACCCCTTTTGTCAGTACTGTATTGCATAGGAAACTGAAGTGGCATCTCTTCAGGACCACTGACCCTGTGCTCTTATGAAGCTTATTTGTAAAACGCAGTCTTTTCTTGCCCTCTGTTTTCTCGTTAAAACCTCGAAATTCGGAGTTTCTTTGTGTGTGTGTTTTTTTTTCCGGATAAATCCGACTTAACGAACGACATAACCAGCGAGTGTCTTTTTTTTTTTTTCGTACTTTTTTGAATTAGTTAGAATACAAGAAACTTAATTTATTTTTGAGAGCTGACCGAACTCTGTACATTACACAACGGAGTTGGCGCAAACGCCGCGTCGGCGTTCCCTGTCATTTTTCTTTGACATTGGTGATCACTAACTTTGACACCTTAGGCTTGTGCCCTAAGTGCGCGCTTTTGTGTCGGTATACGCACTTGTTTTTATCAAAGTGAGAGCGCAGCAGGCGCGAGCCAACGAATCAAGCAGCACGTCGGTGTTCGTGCTGTGCGTGTGTATCACCGGCTTCACCAATCAAGACCTATGAATGCGCTACTGTCTTGCGCTTTTGTCTGTGCGTCGGCGTTCGTGTGTTTTTTCTACTGTGACTGCGCTCTGACGTCTGCTGAAACAAAGTATGGCGTAGTCGCTGATAGGTTAATTGGCAACTCTGGTTGGTCGAAAACGTAACCAAAATAAATGACAGGGATCGCCTTAGTGGCACAAAATATGATCACGGTCGAAATATCGCGTCAAAGTGAAGCCGCGTTGTCCACGAAAACTGATTTTAAAGATGCGACCGGCAGATCTTCAGCAGGGTGGCAGCCGGGCCAGCTTCTAGACAAGGAAGACGACGACGCAGACCGCGGTAGCTTCGTCACGTCGCTTCGCGGTGGAGCTGCGGCTGATTCCGCACGTTGTACCGCGCACCGCAGCACCACGCGGACATCAAGTCGCGGCCGTACAGCCAATGATGTGTTGCCATCCCTCTCGAGCAGATAGTTTCAGTTTTGCCGTAGACGCCCAAAACCAAACTTTGAGCCGCGATATTAATGAAAGCACACACAATATCGAGAAAGAAAATTACACCTTGCAATTCAGTCGAAAATATTGACCAGAGTTGTCCTTTAAGAAAAGCGAGGAGTGGCAAGTACCCAGCATCGTGGTATCGGTTCGCAGCAAACGAGGCTCCGGCATTTGCTTATATGAACGCCGAAGATCGAAACATAAAGCATAAAGCGTGAACATCACAAGTCGCGCCCTGCTTTTTTTGAAGCTGACATGGACACAAGTAGAATTGATGACAGATTTTCACAATTTTTTATTTCAATAACAGCTCAGTCGTTTTTTTTTTTTTTGTTTTTTTTTGCGGAGCGGAAAATTTACACTCGCTAGTGCATGCTTACCTGCAAAACATGTCGTCATCTTCGGCACCCCATCCCCAGTACTGATTAGAAAAGCCATTCACCAGTTCCATGTGTTTCTTGTTCAGGGCACTAACTCCGCCAAAATACTCTGTGTATGGGAGCCTACAAGAATAAAAAGTGCGGAACGGAAGAACGTGTTACGTGTTACAGTGGGCCCAGAGAGCCGTAGATGTTCTTCGTGATCAACTAAAAACACTTCGCAGAATTTTCACGCTAGGGGAAGACAGAAGTTATTTATTTATTTATTTAAAATACCCCTAAAGGCTCTCTATATGAGGGTATTGCATAAGGGGGGGGGGGGGGGCGTGCAAGCAAATATATAGTACACAGATAAAACAGAATAATTATACAAAAGACAATATGAGAACAAGGAATAAAAAAGAACCTTAAGTATTAGTGTGACTACGCGCGAGCCCTTGAAAGTTAGACATATCGAGTTCAGTTGCAATGTTAGCCGGTAAGTTGTTCCAGTCGATTATGGTCCGTGGTATGAATGATCGTGCGTAACTAGATGAGTGGCATGTGATGCGTGCTACTTTCAATGAATGATCGCGACGTGAAAAAATAATGGGCGGTGTTTTAAAAAAAATCGTCGTGAAGCGATGCATGGTGATAGAGCTTGTGAAATAATGACAGACGGGCATGTCTACGCCGGTGTGATAGGTCATGCAACTTAGCTTGATTTTTTAATGCGGTGACACTGGAAAATGGAGAGTAGTCAGAGCAAATGAAACGCGCAGCACGGTTGTGCAGGAACTCGATGTTACTTATAATGTAGGCTCGATCAGGATCCCATATGGCAGAAGCATATTCAATTTTGGGGCGGATTCGAGTGATATAAGCAAGTTTACGTAAGGTAGCGGGTGCTTGTTCAAGATTCTGCTTTATGAATCCAAGGGAACGGTTAGCAGAAGCAAGAATAAGATCAATGTGGTAGTGCCAGGACAAATCAGACTGAAAGTGGACAGCCAGGTACTTAAAGTACAAGTGAGTTCGACAGTATTGTTATTCAGAAGGTAAGAAGTTGGAGTCTGAGAGGAGCATTTGATAAACGACATATGTTTTGTTTTGTTGAGGTTGAGGGTCATTAGCCACGAAGAACACCACGTGGTTAACTGGTCCAGGTCTGATTGAAGAGCTTGGCGATCGGTGTTAGTAGAGATGTTACGGTAGATGACACAGTCATCAGCAAAAAGGCGGCCATGAGGTGAAACGCAAGTGGGTAGGTCATTAATGTATATGAGAAAAAGTAATGGACCCAGCACGACTACCCTGGGGAACTCCAGATGTCACTTGGGCAAAAGAGGAGTTGGGGTTGTTAAGGGAAGTGACCTGAAGTCTATTTGAGAGAAAGTCTTTTATCCATGAGAGAACATTAGAATGAATGCTAAGCTGTGCCAGTTTTAGTAGAGGCCTGTAATGGGGAATGCGGTCAAAAGCCTTCGAGAAGTCGAGAAATATTGCATCAACTTGTTAACCAGCATCAAGAGATGTATGTAAGTCGTGAACCAAACCGTCAAGTTGAGTGTCACATGAGTGACCCCTGCGAAAACCGTGCTGATACTTGAAAATAATGTTATGGTGGAGGAGGAGGAAGAGGGAGGGTAAGGAGGAAGAATGACACAGTGAAAAATGGGGTAAAACAAACGTGAGCCGAAAGCACAGGATGATTGCAAGCTTTTTCTTCACGCTTGGTGGTTTGTTCTATACGTCTTCGGATGTTGACGGTTGGCACCCCCCCCCCCCTCCCCCCTCCCCGGAAAATTGATAACTAGCTTGAATTTTAAGAAGAAAGATTGTGAAAGAGCTGGTATTGGTGCGACGTGCGTAAAATTTGAGAAAGAAAAATGAAAGACGTTTGCAATCCCCAGTAATGCCGAATTAGAGCGTAGCCCTTGAGGAGGAGGAGGGAAGGGTACGGAGGAGGAGGCATACCTCCGTCGTGACGTTACACGTGACGCCATTATGGGAAACGTTTCAGTTTAGGCAAGCAGTTGAATATATCCGACCATAGCTCTACATTTTTATACAGCATGAAGTTAGTTATTTCTGAATCTGAATTTTCAAAAAAAGAAAAACATCAACATAAATTGGACGACTTTTCACACATACGCTTCTTTTTCAAAAGAAGCACCCCTTAAAGGGGAACTCCGGCGGTTTTTTGAGCTACCCAAACAAATTGCATTTTCTGACTACCCGAACTTGAGTCTTCACGGTATGCTATTTATTTTCTATAAATTCAAAACAGAAATTGAGAAAACCGTAAATGATGATGATGCCGAAACCAAGATTTAAATTTCCGCGCGCTCTCCAGTTGTGTGACGTCACAAATAGTACAGACTTTCAGGTTGTGCAGGTAGTCTTAAGCAGAGTATTTCCAGTGCTTTTTGTGTGCATCTCAGTGAATCAGCTACCAAGCACACTTTTCCCACACCCAAACGTCTTGTAATGAGGTGGGAGCATGGCTTACTGCTCAATCTGTACTATTTCTGGCGTCACACTTCAATGTTGCCAGTAGGGGCTCCCGGTTTTGAGAAACACGATAAGAAAGGAAATTCGAAAATTCAATAACTTCGCGAAACGTTTCTATTTTCACAGAATACTTAGGGAACTGGTGCAGCCGTGTCTACTGGTGTGCTTAGCCAATTTTGAGGCAAATCAGCGACTATAAAAAAAATTGCCGAATTACCCCTTTATGGTGGAGTTTTTGTCCTGGTGTGTTTTAACAGCAATATCTGTGAAAATGTTGCTTGGTGTAAAATGTCGCCACGACGACTCTTTATGTCCAAAAAGTTATAATCGCAGCTTACGTGTAATTCATAGTGCTCATGGCCACGGACATGTGCCTGGGCTGCTCGGGACAAGTGTAGAGGTTGCGGTCATCCTCCGGGATGAGATCCACATCATGCAAAATTAAGCAGTCGTACAATCCCTGTGTCTCTAGGTACCCGACGTTCAACAGTTTAGCTCGGTTGAATTTTCCATTCCCCTCCTGCAAACAAGGATGCAGTTACTAACACAGTTCACAGTGTGTGTTGATTTATTCAATCAGGTGAATGTTGAATGCCACATTTTTTTAAAGCGCTGAGCTCAGAAACGTGAGAACTATTCTGGATATATGGGGGGTGGGAGGGGGCAACTTTTATGCTCCTCTCCCGTATTTTTTACATTTAAATTTTAAGATGCCTAAAAAGACGAGCGCCCCCCCCCCCCCCCTCTTTCTTGATCCTGTTCATTCACATGAAGTACACTGATAAACTAACGCTGCCACCCAAGATAAGAAACAAACGTTTTCCTCAACATTGGCCAGAACACAGCAAGTTTAGTTTCAAGGAAACAAACATGAAAAGAAATAAATCGGTAAGCTCAGATGCCACTTAGCCATTACTCCATTCTGTAACAATGACCCGGTCTTAGGTTTAATTTTTCTATTTAGCTCAAGTGATTTTTTTTTCATAATTACAAATTATTTGGGATAAAAATTAATTTCAATTGCATTGAAAATTACTGCTGTGCCGGAAAGAAATGGTCAAATTACCATGAGTGGGCTTCTGCTCTGCTGCACGCTAGTCCTAATGCATTCAAAACAGCACGCAGCAAAAAAAAAAAAAGCTTGTTCTTGTTAATTATATAAAACAATAAAAAAATGATTAACATTAAGGATTGCCATTAAACACAATTTACATCGATCTGCCAAGAGCCCCTCAAAAAGAATGTGCCATCTTCACCATACTTCCGTATGCAAAGAAGCGCACGTTTTGCGAAGGACAGTTCAGAAACTGTATGGAATTGTGTTTTGTGGTCATATGTCTCTGCGGAAAAGGCAATAACTTTGAAATAAGACTATTTCCTTTTCTTTCTTTGGAAAAGGAAGGGGGGGGGGGGGGGGGTGTGTCGAGGTTGGTTATATCTTCGGTTCTGGGTTTGTACCGGGAGCAGATTTGGTTATGTCCAACTAAAAGCTGGAACGTAGATGTTAGGGAGCTGTAGAGCTGCTCCATTAGCAAAATGAAAAGAAATGTGTCTTTGTTTTTGTTTAATACCTATTACTAAAAATTGTGAACTTTGCGCAGTTCCGACGTGCCTACTGAGCCGTAATGGTTTCAGGACATCAATTACAGGTTTGGTTTGAATACGATTGTAGCGCATCGAATCAAGCAGGACCAATCACACGCACCCTCTTTTTCTCCTTATTTCTCTTCTACCCATCTAATACCAATCAAAATAGTCAAACCTCGTTTCGATTCGATACGGTCGCATCCATATAAAAACAGCCATAATAGACCCGATAGGTCAACAGTGAGGAACAACGTTGTGCGGTCTGTATCGTCGGAGCAACGGGGGACGGGAGCAGAGTGGATATCGCCCTTTCCCCCTTTTCCCGCCTCATCACACACGCACATGCACGTTTCAGACATTTCTACAAGCAATTTTAAAAAAGGGGAAAAAATCTGCCGCCCCCCCCCCCCCCCCCCCCCCGCCCCTTTTCTTTGAACACGAGTCCCGCATAACATTAATCCGCTTTATTGCACCCTTATTTTCGCAGTTCAGCCTGCAGCACGAATTGTAACATTGGCGCATCCCCGCACTTCCCACGTGCTTTAAGTATTTCTACAATTGCCGAAATCTGATTTTGTGGTTTTGGATGACTCTCAGCAAATCTCTTATTGGAGTCATATGTTTATTTGCACGTATCAAGAAAGTTTATTGACAAACTTTAGGTAACTACCCGACTCATCATGAAAATCAGCCTACTATATATATTGTTTTCTGAAGGCAAAAATCACCTGCACAGAATGCAATAATCTAGCCTTTAAGTTTTTTGTTTTTTATGTGTAATGTTTTATTTGGAACCTGCGCTAGGTGAGGGATTGTATTCAACTCGGACTAATAATTTATTTATCAGCCGCTTCAACTACTCTCCCTTCCCTCTGCTGTGGTTTCAACTTTCAAATGGACACAGAACACGCAAGCGGATTGTTTGAGGATTTTTAATCTGAGAGGCATATGTGTCGCTAAAGCATCGAAAGGTCGAAATCAGTCCAACACTTGTTTTTATTGCACCAATTTATGCACCAATAGGCCTGATGATTCGGTGTAGTGGATATGTTCCCCAATATGGAAATGATGTCATAATCTTCATGCAAATTGACCTGAACTATTTTCTATTAACCCAGATGAGAGGCTTGCATAACTGAAGCATGTTTGCACTAAAAATAAATATTTTTCAAATCCAATTTTTGTGTTTGCTTAGTATACTTGAATCTACCTCTTTTACACCCGCGTTTCCGTGTGCCACATCCAAGCCACACCCTGATCTAGCGCAAAGACAAAAGTATTTTTCCAACAAACCCACTTGTTCAATGACGAAAATGCCATAGTCTATCTGCTGCCGGGGCAGAAACTGGTGCATGTTATAAAGAAAGACCCTGAGGTGCTCCTCCCGGTTCCTGTATGGAATGAGTATGGCCACTCGATGCCTGGCCAGGCACTCCTTCGGCTTGAACCTGCCTCCTGGCATGATGTGCGTGAAATTCTTCTCGATATCCTCAAGCGACGGGGCTTGTTGTAAGACCTTTCGGCGGCCAACTGAAACGTGTAGAAGAGAAAAAAAAAAAATCAGGATCGAATACTTTTTATTTTTTTGAAGCTGAAAGCGAAACTAACAATAACTGTGGGCAGTTAACATCGGAGCGTCCCGAAATTAACATCAACAAGTAGAAGGCACAGCTGCGGCCAAAGCCCAAAAAGACACAGTACTGTAACATCAAACGAGAAACGTTATATCTGTCAGGTAATCATAGAACCACTCTGAGAGACGTCTAGTTAAATACCTGATTTGTGATTGCCGAGAGTCGACCGGTCCTGAATCCTGCAAGTATTCTTCGTAATTGAAAATAGGAAAGGAAAAGGTTCTCAATACCTGCTTCATCGCCGCCTGTTTACAAATACAGCGATTGCTTAGCGATAAAAGAATATTTGGACGATTATTCATACCTTCCTACATGGCACCCAAGTGACTTCGCCGAATTCCAACCAGACCACAACACGACATCAAAGTGGCATCAGAAACACCTTGGGTGCAGCCACTGCAATCTTTCGCGACACTTCGTGGTCCTAGCCAGTACACATCTGATGCTGGTTTCCGAATTCCCTGAAAGAACATCTTTGCGCTTCACTCTACATATTTCTTAACAAATAAATAAGACGCATGTTCTTTTTAAGTGTTTGAAGTATTGGTGCTGACTGGGCACATAGAAACGTTTCAAACCCCCTTGACTATTTTCCGTGCGTTCATGACGGTGGCGGAAATACCGAGAGTCATTTGGCTAACTGAAGCTGACTTGGAAAACACGCGCATGTTTTCTCATCTGACAATATTTGCTGGGATGTTCTGCTTGGAAGGTGATGTATTCCTCAACGAGGTTTGATGAGCCTCCTTCCAAAAATTGTTATGTGGTGCGCAAAACACAAACAAAGCAATAGACGTCATATCTTCTATCAAAGTAGACATTTAGGCGAGTTGGTTGATGCTTAAGGTAAGTATACAGAGCTAGCAAAAAAGACGAAGACTACCAAAAACCAAAGACATGAAAAAGAGCCTAGGTCACAACAAAACATACAGTGAAGCAATCCTAATAAAGTAAACGCCCCGGTCACAACGGTATGAACAGGTGTTCGAGTACGCACTCCCTTTTGTGTTTTATCTTCAGGTAAAATAGCTGCATCAGTCAAACATTTGTTAATTTAAGGCTGGAACACATGTGCGAAAAACGAACCGGAAGTCGAACAAAAATAAGAATGTAAAAACGATCGCTCCAGGTTTGTTTTTCTACCGACTGATTATCGGTGAGGCACACGACCCACAGCTAGCTTTTAGGGAGGGAAAAACAACCGAGGTGTGTGCGCTGCTTGGAAGCCCTCACGTTTGTTCACCTCTCTTTGGTTTGCCCAAACTCTCAGAAAAAAAGTCTCACTTACTTTCCCATCTTATTTCATCAGAACTTTGCACTGTTTATGGCACTACCTTTTGTTATGAGCATTATGCCTGTGACTCAGAAGCAGGATAATTGGAAAAATTATTTTCAGAGATTATAAATTAAACATTGCAGACAGGTAGTGCAAGCTGGTCGAAAGGGCATGAATATAGCCTCCCTAAATCCTCCGGCATGCAGCTCACGTTTTTCAAAGGGACAAACTGATCAGCGGCCTTAATAACTCAAGTATATTAGAATAACATCGAATATTAATCTGAGGCTTCCAGGGGGCCCATTTTCAGGATAAAGAAGGAATTTTGTATATTGGCTACATGGCAAAAACAAAACAAAAACTAATGCTTTTTAGTACGCAATTTGTGTGATTCAGGATTACTAGCCTTGCTCTTGGCGCACTATGGCATTTTATTGCTGCGGCGCCACCAAAGCTCCAACTACGTTATTTCACTCTCTCTAAAACCACTTATTTATTTATAGATACTGTTAAACTCCTGTTGGGGTCATTAATGGAAAGAGAGAGGGAGAGAGAGTAACAAAATTATACAGTAATAAGCAGCAGCAGGAAACGAAAAACGCCGCATTCATAGAGCATAATATGCATTCGCCAATACAAAAGCAAACATATAAACGAAGCAAAAACACATACTCATCACATTACAATGACTGCAGAGCATCAATGGTAACAAAAAGAATCTAGTTTCACAAGCGATTCAAATTATTAAGAAACTCTGTATGGGAACCTGATTTCACAGTTTCCTGCGGAAGAAGGTTCCATTCCTTTACTGTTTCAGGAAAGAGAAAACAGTGCAATATAATGCATGATCCTACATTGAAATGACTGGATAACTTTCGAATGGTTACTTCTTAAAATGCGAGTAATACGGGTTTTCAAATACCGGGTTAGTCAAAGTTAAACAGGCCATCACACACCAAGACAATGTGCTTGAGTCTAGCATTCATGCGCAGGTCGGAAAGAAAAATAGGAATGTTCCGAGCATATTTCACTCACCTAAATTGGGAGGCATAAGAGGACAGAGCTCTAGGGACGTATTAGAGGACACCGCCACCGCTCTAGTGTTACTCCTGCCGGTCCCGTTCCCAGTACTCTCCACACCGCCCCGAGTCCTGTTACCAAGGCTGGCATTGAAGATCTCAGAGTCCGCGCTTAGAAGAGGCTCAAATATACTGGAAACACTGGCGTTAAGAAACCTGATATTCTTCTGATGGTAGACGAGTAAATTGAAGCTGTACTCCAAGAGCAAAAGGGCAGCCAATATGACCGCCAGCACCTTGTAGAAGTTACTGCAGCACGGGTTAAACATCTTGCAAGAACTCATGGAGTCGCCTTTTTCAGTTACTGTTAATATCCTAGCCTCGTACACCGTCTAAAAGGATCCACTCGGAGAGTGACTGGGCATCAAGGACGGGCCAGTGCTTTGACGTTATCTGCGAAGAAGAAAAATAGTAAAAACGGCTTACTATGTGCGAGGTAACATTCTCAGTGAACCAAAAAGAGGAACCAAGGCTTGCGCCGTATCCTAGACTGCTGTAGCAAACTTGAAGTGTAATGCCTAGCTATTAAAGCCCATCAAATAAGAGCGATAAGAGGTGTCCTCCTTCCTGTGCCGTATCCAAGACTGGCGTACCAAACTAATGCCTACTCTATAAAACCCTTTAACTAACAACGATAAGAGGCTTCCGTTTTCTCTCCGTACAACATGACGAAATCTAGGAATCAAAGTGCTTAGTCTGCACTACCGGAATAAGTAAGATATTTGAGGCTACGAGTGGTGTTCAGTGACATCTGCCTGAGTGTGAACAAAAAACAAAACAAAACACAGCAAGTGTGTTAAAACAAGTTTAATCATGTCTCAAGGTTACTCATTCGCGGTTGCGATTCAGTGCGAGTCTAACATCCCAACGGACTGAATGTGAAGTGCGTCTTGATGTGAATCGAGTAAAAAAATGCTAGATTTTGACCAACATTCAGGAATAAAAGTTCTCGCAAAAATAAAAACAATATAAACTAGAATATATCAATTAGTGTTCTACTGCAGTTTGTAGGGAGTCTTCCCAATCATCCTACAAGGTAACATTTTTAAGAAAGAAGTTTAGTTAGTTGGAAAGCCAATTGTGGGATGACCCTTACACCATAAGGCCTTGGAAAGCAAATTCCACAGGAATGTCCAACAAGGTCGAGCATTTAATTTTGTCAGACAGAATAATTAAGTTTTCACGAAAAGCCAAAGAAATGGGCATCTCGGCGGGTTTAGCTTGAAAAAAAAAATCATTAATGAAAAGTCGGGCATGTTAAAGGTCAATGGAAGGTGGGTTTCTTGAACACTGACGCCATCTCAGAAGGTCACGAGGCTCCAGTACTGTCGGAACAGTTGAGAGATGCTCCGTGAAGACAAAAAATAACTTTTTATTGTTTGGTGACCGGACTTGAGGCTTGGGTCTCTCACAGCAATCTCGAGTCTAAAAGGGAGTAAATAGAGTGGAACCACAAACCATCCCCCAATCCAAAATAGTTAGACAAAAAAAAAAGACAAAGTAAGGGTAACTGTTTTCTGGGATTACAAAAAAAAACATCTGCGGCTGAAGTTCGTGCCACAGAAAAAAAAATCATATCTGGGAAGCGTTATGACAACAAAATGATCTCTTTATGGGAATCAATCAAGGTGAAAAGACGCAGAAAACTCTCTGCAGGCGCTCTCCTTTACAACAACACGCCGGTTCACATGCATGTAACGTCAATCACAGGCTGCCAATCGAGAATGTGTGTTTCAGCGGCAGAACCAACCACCATAAAGTTTTGATCTGGTTGCTTAAAATATTGCATGTTCCGAGCTAAAAAAACGCTCCTTGGACGGCGGTCTTAAAATGATGAAGTCGTCAAGACGGCTGTGACATCCTGATTTGAAGGTCAAACAAGATAATATTTAGATGGTTTAAAATGAAGACAAAGAAAATTGATGGAGTATATAGCGCTATCAAGTGACTATTTAAAGATAAAACAGATATTTTGTGAAAATTATGCTTCTATGTATTGATATAGATTAATTATTGAATGTCCTTCATGTTACATACAGGAAATTTCACATCATAATACATTTACAAACAAAGGATGACAAAAAGCTTCCTATCGGCAGCTAGTTGTCCAATGTCGCCGGCACAATTATGATGAAATAAATTAATGTTTAGGTACAAAATCTCGGTACACGTGTGTTAGCGCAGTAGCGCACCCTAACAGCAAGCTGGAGCGTGCGCTTTCCCAGAAATAGCGCCTTCATGAAAGAACCCGACATCTCTCGGCCTTTGAACAATAAAAAGAACACAAATTTGTCGTGCAATACTTTTCTGACCGTGATAGTTAAAGCGTCTCTATATCTCAGGAACGGTCCAGTATAAAATACAAGAACAGTTATATCCACGAGTAATACAAACTCTTTACACAAGAACTACCGTAGAAAGGAGACATATCAGATGAGTTTCATTGGTAATTATTTTATAATTAACATATACCAGTACGTTTGAATTGCTCCTTCGGTTTCATTCAGCTACTCGCGTTTTCCGACAAGTGGTTTGAAATCAAGAAATTCTGACTGGTAATTTTAGCGTAGAGGATTTTCTTGCTGAGCTTTTATATTTATCACTTGCACTGAATTTCTCAATAAGATGTTAATTTACAAAAATAGTTATCAAGATTAGTTCTGCCCAAACAGGCTGAACTGTGAGTTGCTAACCGCTCACGAGTACCATACCACGTTCCTAGTTGTATGGAGATGAATGGCGTCAGCTGAAGGCCGTATATTCTCATTAAGAATTTTTTAGGGGCGAGGCTCCTTAGGGTCTAGACTTGTCCGGCGTCCGTGCTCACATCGATTGCACTGCGTCCGGGATCGGCCCACTTTTTAAAAAAGTGGGCCGCTCCCGGAGGCAGACGTCTTAAGCACTACGCTACACTCCAACGTTGCATGTAGCCGCTCAACGTCTATACAGGAGAGGGCGCTGCGGTCAAATGCGTATATAATCGCCTTAAACTTTGCATGCATTGGCTCAACGTTTACAGACGAGAGGGCGCTGCGGTCGAATGCTCAGCTGCGTATATTACCACTATCCATACCACACATTCTCTTTCTGACATGGACCGTTGACTTAAGCGGTGCAGATGCGTTCCCACGGCTTCTAGCGGATCCAAGCTGATCCGCTAGAAGAACCATTGGCTGTGTATGTCACCGACCATAAAGCAGTAATAACGAAGTCGAAACGGCAACCCGCAACTCAGCACTACCTATGAGCAATAAAAAAACAATCAGCACCATCAGCACTACCTATGAGCAATAAAATCAGTATCATCAGCACCACCAGAGCTTCGCCACAATCGACATCATTCACCACGTGGAGATGCGTTCATTTTTTTTAAATCGCTTAAAAACTTTCAAACATATAAGGGCAAGCTCTAAATCATTGGAATCATGTCCGGATCATTCGGACGGACACAGAGCGTTTGACTATGCGTCATTTATTTTTGCGTTAAAAAAAAAAAAACACTTCTTTTTCTAGACATTTGGAACTCTAGGGTACCTTAAAGATCTGTTTAAAGCCCCTAAGTAAAATTCACGCTTCCCATTACTTCTCCGTAGAGTTATGCGCGGTGACGCTATGCTTTGGAGTACCGGATGCCGGCGACAAGTGTACACAGGGGAAATAAATTCTGCAAACGACTTAAGTTTCGGGAGGACCTTATTTTTGTGAATTTTGCGAATATCGCCTACAATTCGCGAAAAATAGGTCCCGCGAACAATTCCGGTAAAATGTAAATACATTGTAATCTATATTGAGATCCCACCGCCTCGCGAAAATTAGAACCCGCGAATAATTCCAAAACTTCGGCTTTGTCTCTAAGCGCGAAATATTGAGTCCGCGAAAAATAGGTCGTTTACAGTATTTACAAAAGCACGATCGAAGGGGACACCTGTGTCACTGAGCCAGCAAATGGACGAGAATGAAAAAATCGTTCAGCCTTTTCACTCTCGTGAAGAAGGAAGACCAGCGGAGCTAGCGGAGTTGTACTCGATACACTGTGTGCTTCTTCTTCGTCGTCGTCTGTTTTTCGCGTTGTTACCTACGATGAATTTCCACCAACGCGCCCAACTATCCATTCTTCTATTAAAGCTGGAAAGGTTGCCGCCATCTACGAGCGACGGCGGAAACCGTACTGGTTGTGTGCTTGCCGCCGTCGCTTATAGATGGCGGTAGCTCTTCAGGTAGGTTTGTGTCGACATGCACGGACACGATCCTGGGGAACCTAGCCCTTAACAGCTCCGCTGTAATATGATTGGTATTTAAATGAGCAGATGTTTGGCTGACGTATTTATTTCCCCCTCATTTTATTGCACTGGCTTCTAACAATTCTCTGCCCGTTTTTTTTTTACGCCTCCCAAAGGTCGTAGTTTCTTGTAACTTGCGTCGCTGAACTCATAAACACAAAGTTGGGGCGAAGTTCGCAGAGCGTGCTGATTGACCTCTCGCGACAACGGCGTCATGCGGAACGAGTTGTCAATCACCCAAACTCTCTCGGTGCTCAAATTGCAGCGACATTGTGAAACAAAGGCGTAGCGAGCTTCACCGGAGCGCGCGCGAGCAACACCGTGGGGCCAGGCGATTGAACGGCTGCACTGATGACGTCGCACCCGCGTGTTCCTACATCGCTACGCTGCGTTAGAGTCAATGCTGTCTAGATGGTCCCTAGGCAGGCTGTGAATACTTTGAACTTTCTCGTAGTGATATCGTCGTTTGTGGAAGTTATTGGTGACGACAAAGTGACGTTTCACGACTTAGGGAAGGAGATATTTGAGGCCAAAATCTTCGCCTCGGAATCGAGGCAAAGTTTGAACTTTGTGATATTGTGGAGACATGCGAGATGTACGCGGCTGTAGAGCTGATCTTCCACGACTGTCAACAAAGCTTCCGGGGTCACCCAGAGGCGGTTTATGTAGTGACGTCAGTAGTGTGTGAGAGATGAGGGGGCGACTGGGGATGGCGAGGAAAAACTGAGGGGAAGAGAATAAGAAGGGGTACGACCAACGCACGCACGCACGTACGTACGCACGCGCGCATGCACGCACGCACGCACGCACGCACGCACGCACGCACGCACGCACGCACACACACACGCACGCACACACACACAAATAGGGGTCGGGAAATGCCATAAAAAATGTTTGGGAGAGAGGGGGCGATGGTAGTGAGAAAGGGGGATATCCCTCCTCCGGAATTTTTAGTACACCGTTCGGAAATGTATGGACACTATATAGGAGGCTATGATCTGGTG